CACAGTATACTTATATCAGTGTCCAAATTTCATATTCTTTATTGGTATCTATTGTTACTTGTACTCACACTTGCTTGCGTGCTCCGCGCGAAAGTCGCTAACGAAATGATTGAAATTGCCCCAGCTGCGCTATACACGTGGCAGCGGCATCTATGATCTAGGGAGCAAGGAAGGTCTTGCGCCCCTGCCGCCGGCCCAACTTAGGGATCACACATCACAATCAAGAAGGCAATCAAGGGTCATCCCCACTCTTACACCCTAGATTGCCCCTGTGGCAGGCAATGAGCCTTAAATAGATAGCGTTAGGTACTTATTGTTGTAGACTAACGTACAAACATGATATATTCTGAAAGACATCCAAAGAAAACAGACGTATTGCAGGGAGTGTCTATTGTTTGGAAAAACTCCTACAGCATGCCACGTTACACTATCGTGCTTTGGCGTTATGAGGCTTAATAAATATTGCCGTACACAAAAACTACTTAGGAAATGATAGCTGTGATGTGAACGCGATTGCAGTTAATTCTATTCCTATGCACGGACATTATGGCATCAGTTCGTATTATCTCAGGTCTCTAATACATCTTACTGAACAAATTCTCTGTATTTTTTTTTAAATGTACTACTGAAATTGTTTTCTTTTTAGTATATATTAATCATCTGTAGTCAAGCCTGCATTTCTGAGAAATATAAAAAAATCGAGAAAAGGAATCCTCGCAACTTCATTACACACATAATGGATAGAAAAATATTGTACTGAGCAAAAATTTGAGGAGAGCCTTTGTAATAAAATTTATCCAGCGTAGCTTTTGGTAATATGCTATGTTTGGTAAAATGGCATTGTATATATAGGCTATTTCATCGTTAACGAGATAATAAGAACCTTTCTCTTTTTATTTGCCAGAGTGACAAAAAAGCTTATGGGGATGTCCGAACACTAAGAAATCGCTACAGGATCCTCTCACCTGATCGCCAACAAGAATAGTTGAGAATGACAAAGGTTGGTTAGACAGATAAGAAATTTTACGAATGAAACTCACGGGTCACTTTGGTAAGCGGCATTTTATTACAAAATGAACATACAAAAAATGATTAACATAAAAATATCACTACAAAATCTTAAACGCAATATTTCATATTACAATAAAATGTGATGTAAAAAATTATCGAAGGTACACACGAATCTCTTGGTAACGAATTCTCTAAATACAAAATGGAAATTCGATCACAGCCTGCAGGCATTGGGGGTCTGCTATTGAACTTAAAATAAAATGGCGAAAATTAAAACACGGAACAAATATTAATTTTAATGTTTATTGTCCACAAAATTCTTGGTTGAAGTTTCATAAAAACATTTTCTTTTTTTTTCTAGTTCATTTTCTTAGGTAAGCAACGACGAAGCCACAAATCATGATGCAACACCTAGTATTGCAATCTAGCCTTTATTACTGCTGCAAACGCATCAACATGACAACGTACGTAGTAGTAATGTGTAGAAAAACTATTATTTGATATCCTCGCACTGCGTCGCGTATTTATCGCTTACCTAAGACAACGCCTAAGGAAATGAACCTTTCAAAATTTCTGTTTTAGTAATGAGGAAAATGGAAAATGGTGGAGCATTTCTTTAACTGTAGAACATGTCGTCGTTATTTAGATCATTTTACTGTCGCAACATAATAGAAAATAAATATATAATAGAAAAATATTAACAAAAAAATCCAAAAATCCCCGCAATATACGTGTATTTTTAATATATTTCAAATATTATCATTTAAAAATCAAAGTATACTCGTATACCAGTGTAATTGACTTAAAAAAAAAGGCAATCGATACGTGATCGCGCTTGCGGACGTGATTTGGCAATAATTTGCAAACTCGATTAACACCATCGAATTTATATTTTATTGATACTATATAAATCCCCATTATTCTTTCCTATCTTAATAAACCATTGCTTTTCGCTTTTAAGACGACAGCAAGACAAATAGCGCTATTTATTTGATAAACTTGATTATGGTCCTTCGAGGCTGATATGAACCAATGGATTTAGTCAAGATTTGAATTTTTTTTGCTAAAAAAAAAACTTAGCAATACCCTGAATATGTTTATTTCTCTTAACTTATTGCTGTCATCTCAAAAAGAAAACAATTTTAACACACCCGAAGCAAAGAAAAATAAAATAAAAAAGGAGTTCAAAACCTTAAAATAAATTCACTGCGACACCGCCCCATTTTCTTTCTAAATTTACATTGTTTTCACAACACTGACTGCTCATAAGAAAAACCAGGTAAATGACATCTACGTAGAAATAATATAAATAATACATATTACGAGTCCGAAACGGAGTTAGGATCATCTTTTATTTCATTACTAAATATAATCGAACATTTAATAATTTCGTGTTACTTTGAATTATTCAACAATAGCACACTTTACATTGACATCTTGGTTAACCGTTTGAAATTCAGAGCTGGACCAAAAATGCGACAGCAGGCAGGTTTTTAAAAAAAAAGTTGCCCATAATTACCATGCTGTCCATAATAACATCTCTCCAGCAGAGTAAATACGGGCAGTGGGTTAACTCAACACTGGATATCAATTTGACTTATTTTGGGTATATTTTCTACCATCAGTAGGCTCGCCAGAACTTCATCAGTCTATCAACAGGATCAAAAATATACATAACCCAACCACAAGTCATGATAAGAAAATTGAAATCTAATCATTAACTTGAAAAACCATTCGCTTGCGATCCTAGAAATAGGTACGTAAAAAAAATAGGAATTTTCCAAAAAAAAGTTTAATGAGCCCAGTTTGCATTATTTATCTGTCATCAAATAGCAGTACGTGCACTATTGTGTTCCGTATAGAGGCGACAACGCCTTCTTTATTTGAAGTTGGATGCAGGTGTCTGACTAGACTGCAGTAGCCACTTACCACCAGGCGGACTGTTCAATTATATAAAAAATAGTCCTTCAAGCAATGCCACAAAACAGTGGCTCAAGGGCACTTGCATCCATCAACTTCCAACATGTCGCCGCCCTACACTTTTCGAGGCTGTCACTGGAGAACTTTTATTTGCTATCAGTTGTCGGTTCTTCGAGCTATTTGTCACTTTAAGCTTGCTGATCCTATATTGTGCTATCCTACGCTGTTGAGCTATGTCAGTTACACTGGTTCTTCTGAGCTTACCGCGTTACGAACGGAGAAACTCCGAACATAGCCCATTCTATAGCTCGCCAAGCGACTTTACGCTTTCGGCAATTATTAATAACGATAATAATATAATTGCAAGTTTCTTGGCGCTCTTTCTCACAAGGTTTCCTGCACTTGGTCTTGTTAAATCTATGGGATAACTTCCTTAATTATCATTGTGAATGTCATTTTTGGATAAAAATATATCGACTTTGATTTAAGTACAATCGCACAAACGCCGTATCGCCTTTAAGTGGTTTTTCTTACGACCAAACATCGGAGACCCGTGTGAAAACAACTAGCGCCTTCAATTTTACAATCAACAACTAAGAAGGCCTTAATCTATCATATTACAATCGCCCAGATAGCCGCAAGGCACCTGCTCACACGCAACGCAAAAATCACAATAAATTCATAGGAATCAAGAGAGCACACTTCTGCATAACCTATATCACAATAATAGTAATTTGGCATGTCATTGGCAATAAGGCATTCGTTTCGATGTTTTCGTCATTTATTACAACTATATGCTATAATAATATGTGCTTTATATGCAGTTTGTAACAGATATTTAAATTACCATTTTCGTTAAAAAGTATACTAATACAGCCAAACAAGATTTTAGACCCAACAATTAGGTTGCCGAGGTACTCGAGAAGCAAATATATGTAGTAATATAGTAAGTAATAAAAAAAATCTTTATTTTTTAATTTGATCGATTATCTTAGATTTTTTTTATAGGATAGAGTGACCAACGAGCATACAGTCCACTTGATGGTAAGTGGTTGCTGTGGTCCATAGACATCTGCATCAATCTTCGTTAGCGAATCAAAATGCAGATGCGTTGTCAGCCGTGAGGGCTAAGATAGAATGCCTCTTTTCCAGTAAAAAGGGTCTCCGGTTCTCTACACTCACCATACGAAACACAGCAGCATTAAGTTACTATTTTACGCTGGTATTCTGTGAGAGCGTGATCCTTCCCCGGTCGAGCCGACCCATTCGTGCTGCAACTATACTATTAATATAGCTGTAGCATGGTTCTACCACGTATAAAAGATATCGAGGATAAATGTAGATGTCTATGGGCCACAGCATCCACTTACCATCGGGTGGACTGTGTGCTCGTTTGTCACCCTAATTCTATAAAAAAATATCTAAGCATATTTCAAGAAATATTTCATTTGAAATATAGCCATACGAAACTGCATAAAATATTACAGGTTGGCAACACCATCCATCAATAAGAGGATGTCAAATTATTAATATTTAAACTAAAAAAGTTAAACATTACACAAGAATGTATATTTAAACACGTCGCTGATACAACAACATACGTCAGGAATGATTAAATAAATAAATAAATAACTATCGAAAAACATTTTTACATCAATTCAAAGAAATTTTCGTTTTACATTTCCTTTAGTAAAAGGATTGTTTAAGTGCTATATAAAGTCCACATCTAATATCTGTCAAATTATCCATTATACCATGAAAACTCTGAATCTGACTTTTTTTTTTGATTTTTGATGACATTTTGGAAACAATTTACAAAAACATACAAAACTAACCGTGACATACTGCGTTATACTTTTAATCAATGCCATGACATGCCCCATATATTAAAACCTTAACTCTACACTTTGAACTATAGTTGTGTTAACCTACTGTACACATTGAGAAATCTTGGAAACATATATGCATAAAATCGCCCTGGAAAATTTTAACTAACTAATATTTACAATAATATCCCAAAGTAGAAAATCTACGTTAAAAACTAGACACAACATGCTAAAAGCTTAACACTATGACTGAATTGGCAATGGCTCCAGTATTTTATCGTGGCATGTCTGTTCCACATATACAGGATCGTCTTTTTTCACACTTAAGTTTTGTATTGTCTCACATTTGTCCTCACATTTCATAAGATTCAAACCTTGGTTATATTCAGGAAGATATTCAGCGTTTAGTTCGCAATGTTTGAATTGTAAATGCTTCTCCAGACTGGACTTCTGAACGCATCTGTACGTACAGTGCGGACACTTCACTGACTTCTGACGGGGCCTGTACGGTTTCACCTGACCTTTACAATCAACTTTGTCACCGTCTTTATCGTTCAAATGCCTCTGTTTGTGTTTAGTTAGGTTAGTTTTCTGGACACAACGATAACTGCACATATCACAACTGAACGGCTTTTGGTCCGTATGCAGGTACATATGTTTGACTAAATTTGGTTTCTGCACCGTCCTATATTCACAATATGGACAAGCGAACGGTTTATAACCGGTGTGCGTTCGTTCATGAACGACTAAATTATTCTTTTGCGCGCACCTGTAATCACAATATTGACACCTAAACGGTTTTTCTTTCATATGAACTAGTATATGCTTAGCCACGTTATTCTTTTGACCCGATTTGTAGTCGCAGAACGTGCAAGAATAAGGTTTCTCGCCGGTATGCGTACGTTCGTGAATCTTCAAAATGGCGGGGGACTGACACCGGTATGCGCATTGCGAACAACTGAATTTGCCAAGTTTTTCTATCAAATCATTCATTTCACCATTTTCTACGCAAGTTTTGACGTGCTGCTTCAAGCCGCGCTTTGACGAGAAATTGTCGTTACATTTGTAACATGCGTATACGCCTCTTATATTCATAGACACGTCTTCCAAACGCATCTTGCCAACATGGGCACTGGACTCGTTTTCATTTTTTTCCGCGTTATTTGCTAAAGCGTTTGGATTGTAATCCGCGTAAAACATTTTATTCTGATCCGTTGGTTTTAAATTCTCTTTTGGGTCTTCGTTTTTAGAGCTGTCAATTTTCCCGCCAACGTCGTCCTCCTTTGATTTTTTTAATTCTTCCGCGTTATAAGGGCTACAGTTATTAAACTGTCTATAAACGACTAGATTCTGAGGATCGTCTCGATTAACATTGTTCGTTACGTAATTTTGTATATAGTTTTGGGGGCGTGTGTATAGGTGGTCAATCGTGTTTAACGCGGAAATGGGTATATGATTGTACATGATATGGTCTTGAGGTAGAGCTCCAGTGTTGTTTGATGGGGTATCCGTGTGCGATGGAATGTGACCTGTAACGGAAAAAATAAGAGCTAGATTACATCACCTCATTTGATGGTTAAAATGAAATAATTAAAAATCTCATAGCATCAGCATATATCATCAATCATCTCATTAATTGCCAGATCTAAAAATATTCTGAGTGGCGCCAGTAGTGTCTAAGGTGCGACGCGTAATGAAAGAAGATTAATAAAATCATATTTTATTTAGATTAAATTACTTAAGGAACATTTATACAGAAAAACATCATTCGGACAAATGAAGGTTAAACATAATTTTCAATCTTCTTTACATAATATCATGCACAATCAGGGCTGCCACTTATATCGTTTTAACTGTTTTACACTTTATTTTTTTTTATATTTATTATATATATATATATTTATATATATATATATATATATTTATTTATTTTTTTGCTACAAAAAATAAAAATAAAGAAATCCTCAATAATCTTTTGTAAAAATATTCAAACTTTTCTTCGAAAATGTCATCTACTTTTAATAACTGGTAAGGCTCTTCGTTCTGTCTAGGAGTATGTTAGGGTTGCCGTAAACTAACTTCCTTCGAGAACCCGTTTACCTTTGTGAGTGTGGAGAACTGCCGTGTGCCGGATGTGCGGTTCACATAGTGCTCAGTACTCTTACTCTTCAGGCGTTATCCCTAAGTCTTGAATGACAGTTTTATGCACCCGATTCTTAAAAAGGGCAATCGCTCTGTTCTGTCCAATCCGTCCAAACTACAGGCCTATCGCCATCACCTCCTCGTTTTCTAAAATAATGGAATCAGTTATTAACTGCCAGCTCAAGAGGTACTTTGAGGAGCACCAGCTAATTAGTGACCACCAGTACGGGTGTCGCTCAGTTGGTTATCTTCTAGTTTACCTGATATATAAATGGGCGGAGATAGTTGATGCCTTGACGGTTAGTTTGGACATAGCGAACGCCTTCTATCGAGTTTGGCACAAATCACTTCTTTCGTAGCTTCTCTTTTATGGCCTTCCCGAATCTCCAATGTTGTCGTATATCAGAAAATCAAGGTCGTAGTCGATAAGCGTGCTCGGACCCCCTACCCTGTTCCTTTTGCATATCAGAGACATATTTCATAATAATAACTTTCATTATTATACATATTTTACAAATATTTATCTGGAACTTGTTAACGATTGCCAGAATAAGCCCGTGTGTGGGCGACTAAATCTAGTCCATTTTGACCCTCAGAAGACACAGGTATACACGTTTGCTGCTAAAAAGAACCTCTTTGTTGTATCTTCTCGATTTCAGGGCATTCCACTTGTTGCCTCAGCTAGCATAGGAATCATCAGCGTCGACATATAGTGACGTTCAGTTCCGCGGTCACTTGGAAGACAGGCCAAATTGTCATCTATTAGCAGGACAGTATTTCATGCTGCATGTAGACTGGTAGAGAATGCCTCAGGTATTCAGTCAAGTTTCAGCAATAATGTTAAATATTGATCCAAAAAGCCAATAAAATAGCACATTTTTTTTAATCAAAGTGGCAACCCTATATGCACAGTCCAATTTGCGGATGTAAACACCTTCCAGACTTGAAATATAACGATATCAATATGTAATCCATTGATATTTAAAACCGTATACATTGCTGTTGTGCATTTATAAAATATCATAAGAACGATTCTTCCACTGGCTTTTAGCAGACTTTCAAAATAAAAAAGAGAAGGAGGTTTACTATTCTATTGAATGTATTTTTTGTATGGATATTACACGAAACACATTCGATAATTTTGATGATTACTTTTTATTTAAATATTGTTTTCTTTTGTTTTGCATATACTTCAGGACTAGTCCCATATAAATTTAAAGAAAACATCCACGTCTAAGGGTGACAAAATATTGGATGAAGTTTTCAAGTTTTAGACGATATTGAGATTGTGATGTTTCTAAGTCCAATCAAAAGAGTAAAATAATAACTTTAAAATGTAAAAGATACTTTCAAAGAACTAAAAAGGCTAAACTAATTTCACATTCTGTAGTCGGACTCCGCCCCAGCTTCCACGGTTGAATTCTGGATCTCGACAACAACGCCTCCCATCGGGTCCAATTGTGAATCTAAACCATTCTCTAATCTACTTAATCACACACACACACTCACACACACACACGCACCCACGCACCCACACTAATAAAACTAACACGACTTCTGTCTGATCACGCATCACGCAAAAACCTATGAACCGATATGGATGGGACTTTTACTTGCAGATAGCTGATATTATAAGGAGTAACCTAGGCTATTTTAGGAAAAGAATTAGGGTTTCGCGCAAAATAAATTAAAATCCATGAAATCCAATCGCAATAAACTCCAGGCGGGCGAAGTCGCGGGGAACAGTATATAATATGCATGGTGTTTTTTTTATAGGATAGAGTGACAAAGGAGCACACAGTCCACCTGATGGTAATTGGTTGTTGTGGCCCATAGATATCTACATTTATCCTAGTTTGCGAATCAAAATGAAGATGCGTTGTTACCCGGGAGGACTATGATGGAATGCCTCTTTTCCAGTACAAAGGATCTCCGGTTCTTTACACTCACCATACGAAACACAGCAGCATTAAACTGCTATTTTACGATGGTATTCTGTGAGAGCGTGGTTCTTCCCCGGTCGAGCCGACTCATTTGTGCTACAACTATACTACTAATATAACTGCAGCGTGGCTCTACCACGTATGAAAATGTATTATACATATAAACCTACCTCTTGAATCATTATATCTATTGATGAATCAAAATGCGTTGCATAGTTTAAAAGACCTAAGCGTACAGACGGCGTGAATCGACTTTGTTTTATACTATGTAGATGTCTTAGGACTTTAAAATGTCCTTGCAGTTGGCTTTTGCTTTTCATTGAGTTATTTTTCCGTATTTAAATTGGTGCCAACAAAATAGTTCTCTGGGAATAGATGAAATTTCAATGCAGTTCTGGCCGGGCATCTTACAAACAAGTTCTATTACAGAAACCAGTCTTCCACTGACCTTTCTCATAAAATAAATATTCATAGGGATCTCGGAATTTATGGATCATTTGAATAATCACTAATTGCAGTGTTATTTATTTCTAATATCTAATATTATCTTATGCGGATGTACATTTTTGTGATTTTCGTAAGAGTTCCTAAATGTAATATTTTTTTTTGCACAAACGAGCACACAGTCCACCTGATGGTAAGAGGTTGCTGCGGCCCATAGACTTCTTACATCTATCCTCCATTACAAATCAAAATGTAGATGCGTTGTCACCCGTGAGGACTAAGATGGAATGCCTCATTTCCAGTAAAAAGGGCCTCCGGCCACCTGCACTCACCAAGCGAAACGCAGAGGTAAACCTCTACTTCACGCTGGTTTTCTGTGAGGTCGTGGTACCACCCCGGTTCGAGGCGGCCCATCCGTGCGACAGCAAAAGCTGCCGCGTGGCTCTACCACTGTGTAATATATAATATACAACTTATTTTGCTAATATTTGACAAATAATTTAACGTGGTAGAGACACGCTGCAGCTATACCTGGTTCCAGCAAGAATAGACCGGGGCAGAGGACGACGCTTTCTCACAATACTCAGTAACATTAAGCTGCTGTTCCAGCTTAATGTTACTGAGTTTCGCATGGTTAGTGCAAGGAGCCGGTGATCCTTTTTACTGGTAACCGGAGGAAGTGACAGGGCAGCGTATTTGAATTTTTTGGTTTTCAGCAATTTTTTTTTGTGCTGTCGTTTTTTTTTTTAATAACTTTTTTTAATAAGTTAATGTGTCTATGGGGCACATCATCCACTTATCTTGATCTTCATGATTAAACAATTCTGGATATTGTGTGACCAGTACTATCAATAGTTCTTCATTCATTTTTATTTAAACAAAAAGATTCTTACGAAAACGAAATAGAAATAAAAAAAATACATTGGCGCGCATCCGCTTCTCCGCGTCAACTGAGGCGCGCCGAGTTGAATCAAATCGCACCGCCGAAGAAATTCGCCTGTCAAGCAATTCGCGCGGTCGATTCAATACGGCGCGCCGCGGCTCGTCGCTAATGGACGCAGTTTCATAGTAAATATATAGGAGGCGACTTTCTGCGATTCGATTCGACTCGGCTCGGCGAGCCTAGTGGACGCTTAGCCTAATTTGAAATTGAACAAAAAAATCTTACCGTTCAATGCGTTACTGTTTATTCCCTGGTTTATACTATCATAGAAGTATCCATCGTCTTCTTGCTCAGATTTAATATGAAACGGCATGGGTAGCAAATGCTCGTCCTGTTCGATTTGTCGCTGATTCGGCTCGTGCAAATTTAAGCCCAGCCTTTGTTCCAACCGTTGTCCCATCGTTTGGTCCAACCTTTGCGCCAAGTTTTGCTCTAACCTATGCACTAAACTTTGCTCGAGTAAATGACCGTCTTGAACCGATTGTATTAACGGAGTCCTTCTCGATTCCTCTTGATTTAACAACACTTCTTGTTCTATGTTCTGACGATTCAGGTGATGGGATAGATCGATTTCATGGCCTAAGTCATGAGGTAAGTTTGGATCACCACGGCCAATATTCTGAGACATCGCGTCACTGATCCTTCCCAAGTCCGCGCTCATATTCCTGGCCAAGTCGTGTTCGTTTAAACTTTGGACTAACGACTGTGTTAAACTGGACTGCAACTCCAAATCGTTGCTTAACGCCCTCAATTCAAGATTGCGAGCTAAGTTACCATTAAGAAGTAAGTCTTCGTGCCGGCCAAGAGCTTGAGGCAAATCGTTGGCCAGATTCTGTGCTAAATCCATGTCAGAGGTTAGGTTACGTGGCAAATGGGCAGGGAGGTCGTTGAAACTTAAACTCCTGCTTAAGTGGTTCGATTTGAGCATCAGGGTGGACATCTGTCTTGGTGAGAGAGGCAGTTGGAGGTTGTGTGCGATCGTACTCGCGTTTAGGGATGATTGCATTGCTTGATGTAACTGCTCCATTGATATTTGCGTGTGGTACTCACTGACGTCCATCGGATGCGTTTTCTGAAACTGTTACAATATAATAAATTCACGCGATTTATATATCATAGGCTCTATGCGGTTAATCCCTTCTACCCCTTGATGCTGGATGCATTGACCTTGTTTGTTTTGGGCATGCTTGGATACAACAAGCTGGAAACTAGGAGGGATCTAGCGCTGGTAACCTACATTTTAAAAGTGTTCCCTGGTTACATTAGCAACCCGGGTGTGCTACAGTGGATAGGCTTACGCGTTCCTGATAAGTATACCTATACATCGGCGACGGCGCCCGAGTTTACTCGCGGTGCCGCGCGGCAGGACTAAACTAGTACGCAAACGGTACACATATTAAATTTGGTTGCTGAGAAGTTGGACTATTTTCGTGTTCACGGAGTGAGTTCGCAAAAGTGACATTATTTATAATATGTTATTCTTAAATTGTGTTATACAATTGATTGTAATGTGTTGTTATTTAAATTAATTATTATGTGTTGTAAAGCAATATTATATTATTATCTTTTACCATTTGAATTGTTACTTTATGATTTATAATGACTTCCAATGACATATTTTGATTGTATTATTATATTGATATTTCGTTGTATTATATTATATTATTTTGAAATGAGATGCTACAATTATCGATTTAGGTTTTTCCCTGTAATGGTAGAAGTTAGTAGGTAAAATAAATAAATAAAAATAATAATATAATCATATTAAGTGAAGTAAAAAAATACACATTCAAGTATTTTTTTAAATAAATGTGCTTCAGACCGAATTTCGGTCACGGCGGTCAGTCTCAAGGGAGACTATGCGCAGCACAGGTGCGCTCTCTATTCCCTCACTCCCATAGTCCCAGTCTCAGACGGTAATCCGACACTACCGGAGATCAGGCGCAGAGCCTGCGGCTTTACGTGCATTCCAAAGCACGTGGGTGAGACACCGCCAACTTCCTTACTCAGGCCTGCTACTGAGAATTTTCTTGACAAAAAACCGGAATTCGAACCCGGGACCCCATGATCAGCAAATCACATTCACCACCACTAGATCAACGAGACAGTCAAGTTAAAACAAATAACAGTAGTCATTAAAGAAGAATCCTGGCTAAATGTAACACTAGCTCAAATTATTCTTTCCATCCATTGAGTTATATGAACTACGTACTGAGAAGTAAACAAAAAATGTGCACTACTCTATGTCTTCGCACATGCGCGGGAGGTAGTAGAGTCGCGCATACGCAGTTGCGCCACCACAGACTAACTAGTAGATTGAAACCACACTAAATGACACACTGTACGGATTGCAGTACAGTTCCGTTGAAGATAGCGTATGTTCGGAATGCGAAATCTAGTACGTAGTACATACGAGTATATATCAATGTTTCCGTCCGAATACAATCTGGGCGTCTTCAAGGCAAGCGTGAATATGCTTTTGTTACGATAAGACAGTGCGATTTACCATCTAAGGCTGCATCACACCTTACCACCAGGTGGGATTGTGGTCAAGCACTGGCTTATAATAAGTAAAAAAATATATATCATGTAATAAATTGCGAATATTGTCGTACTACCATTACACTTTCCGTTGCATTGACAAAATTTAAACGTCGCTAGTAAGAAATATGATTTCAAAACTAAAGTAATAAATCCTTTAATTTCTGCGAGGATTTTAATAATAATGTCCTCCAGACCGAATTTTGATCAAGGCGGTCGTCTCAACGGAGACTAGCCTTCTGCGCAGGGCAAGGCCATAGTGTACGATAATGCGCGCAAGCACAGGTGTACTATTCTCTATTCACTTCCTCTCATTGTTCGATAGGACGGCAATCCGACCGGAGCAAAATCAGGCGCAGGACCAACGGCTTTAAGTTTTTTTTATATGATAAGGGTGACAAACGAGCACATAGTCCACCTGGTAAGAGGTTGCTGTGGCCCATAGGCATCTACATCTATCTTCGATTACGAATCAAAATGCAGATGCGTTGTCACCCGTGAGGACTAAGATGGAATCCCTCGTTTCCAGTAAAAAAGGTCTCCCGTTCTCTACACTCACCATACGAAACAGAGCAGCGTTAAGCTGCTATTTTACGCTGGTATTCTATGAGAGCGTGGTCTTTCTCCGGTCGAGCCGACCCATTCGTGCTACAATTATCCCAGATATATAGCTGCAGCATGGCTCTACCATGTATAAAACGTGCTTTGAATCAGTATTTGGCTTGCATTAATAGCAGCAACAGGCCGTAGTCTGCAAGTTGGCAGGGTTTACCCCCGTGAGGCAAGGAACGTTAAAGCACGTAAAGCCGTTGCTCCTGCGCCTGATTTTTTTTATAGGATAGGGTGACAAACGAGCACTCAGTCCACCTGATGGTAAGTGGTTGCTGTAGCCCATAGACATCTACATCTATCCTCGTTTGCGAATCCAGATGTAGATGCGTTGTCATCCGTGAGGACTAAGCTGGAATGCCTCTTTTCTAGTAAAAAGGGTCTCCGGTTCTCTACACTCACCATACGAAACACAGCAGTGTTAAGCTGCTATTTGACGCTGGTATTCTGTGTGAGCGTGGTCCTTCCCCGGTCGAGCCGACCCATTCGTGCTACAACTATACTACTAATACAGCTGCAGCATGGCTCTACCACGTAAGTAATCTCTATGTGATCTCTCCAGTGTCGGATTCGATTACCGTCAGTTCCCACTATGAGAATGAAAGCACACAATCGTACACTACTCGTATGATCCTGTACTGCGCAGATGATGTGGTCTGGGGGACATTATTATTTAATATCTTAGCGACAGTGAATACTTAAACTGAAAAATAAATTGTTTTATTCGTAAATGTAAATAAAAAACAGTAATAATACATAGACCATTTTTAAAAAAAGAAATTAAGGCCGGTATTAATAAACGTTACTCAACGACGAACTCAAGTGCGTAATCATTTGATACGCCCTCATTACGATATCAGCATCTCAAGATCGTTGCTAATTAATAAACACATTAAAAACAGTATCTCAAAACGCTGTACTTAGGAATACTGTTCTGTAACTTGCACGAGTTTCGTTTATTAATCAGTGTGGCACTCAGCTGATATCGTAAACCTAAACCGCACCTTGAGATATGTTTATTAATAAGATCATAACCACAAGATTGTACTCAAGTGCGTGTACTTGAGCTGAGTAACGTTTATTAATACGGGCCTAAGAGTACCTTTACCCAACGAGCGTTTATGCGTAGGTATATGGATGTGAAGGAAGCGAGAGAGGTGTGTCAGGATCGTGCCAAATGGAACACCTTAGTCTCTGCCTACCCTTCTGGGTGACAGGCGTGAATGTTTATGTATTTATTTATGTACATTTTTAAACTCAACATAATCAGCTATGATGTCAAAATCTCAAACGAAAGAAAGAAAGAAAAAACACTATATACATTTAAAGTGACAACATAATCAAGCCGAAACCAACGCATCACATCTAAAATCATCTGCAACCAACAAGAGTTTTAGGTGCAACAACGCACACATGTGCGTCTACTTTAACGGGCTGATAAAAAAGATAGAAAAAAGATGTGTGTGTCAAGAAGCTAAGCATGGTTTTAGCGTCACTTAAAATGTACATAGTGTGTCTGTCTATCTTTGTTTGTTTGGTCTGAGGTCAAAATGTCATCATTTTAAAAGATTAACATATGTAAGACTACATAATTTAAAATAAATTTAGCCTAAAATATAAACAGAGTCAATGACATAATATTTAAACAATTATAAAAAGTTTCATTACAATATTTTGAAAATAAAAGTGTCATTTTTGGCACTGATCACATATAGAGATATATTTACCCGAACATTACACATTGAATAAGACTATTTTTACGGATTTTGTCGCGTTTAATTTTATTTATTTTTAACGTTGGGAATGAAAAATAAGTAAAATTAAACGCAATAATATCCGAAGAAAAATATATTGTTTTATTCAATTGGTTCCACTGTCTTAAAAAGCAGAGGTGCACCTGCCATCGGCGTAGCTGGGAAAAGATAGGGGGCTGTGTAAGTTTGGTGTCTTTTCCTATAGTCGAAATCGGTCCAGCCGTTTCGGTGATTAGCCGGAACCAACAGACGGACAGAGAATTTTTTTAAAAATCGTGTTTTTAATTTTTGTTATAAGTATCGTATATACTTTCATATGCATTTAGTAAAAAGCTATTATTTTGACATTACAAACCGACCACTGGTTCGGAAAAAAAAACCTCTGTCCTGGGAAGAACCAGCAAGAACCCCAGCGGGACTTTTTTTTTAAATAACAGCTTACAATCATGTATGTTACACAAATTAACAACACAATAAATTAGAAATAGCTAAGTAATACTACTAGCTTGTGTCTGTTCCTAGTATTTACAGAATGAATATCACTTATTTTTGTAAAACTACTTTTATTTTTGTGTACGTACATTACATTTTCATAAATGTATTGAGAGGCCAAAGTTAATATATTAATTTCCTTAAATTTTTGTCGCAGCGACTCTTTAGGCTTTAAATCATAAATTGCTCTTATAGCCCTCTTCTGTAAAACAAATATAATTTCAGTGTCAGCTACGTGTCCCCATAGCAAAATACCATACGACATTATGCTATGGAAATAGCTAAACTAGTCTAGCTGTTTCAATACTGAATTTTTAGTTTTAGTTTTATTTGCTTATACCCTTTATTAGAAAACATTTACTCAATAGTTTAATAGTTTTCGATGTAGACATCAATTTTTACATATTATAGATTATAATCTAAGTTTTCCTTATTTATAACAAATAGAGATCAACAACTCTGGATGTCGAAAAATTATAACTATTTTAACTTAAACATAGGTTTAGAAAATTTGATAACATCGTAGAATTTTTAGGTAAGTTGAATCGCATCTTCATTTTACATATATTTAAACAGATATAACGTAAATAACATTAAAAAAATTACATACACATACAGTATAAGAAGGAACGCATAGAAAAAGAACAAACAAACTAATATTAAATTTTTGTCAGTTATTACA